GAAAACTAAGAAATTATGTGTAAATATATATATATAGAGAGAGAGAGTGTGTGTGTGTGCATACCGACTGTGACAATGATAGATGAGGCAGCAGAGATAGTAATCACATTGCCTCTTCTTCTTCTTCTTCTTCTTCTTCTTGTTCTTCTTCGTGGGCTTTGTTTGGGTTTTTTTGGAGTATGGGGAATGTGCGTTCAATAGGTGGAATGTTTTTACAAGGATAATTTTGGTATTATTTGGGAGGAAATAAATTTTAAGGGTTTCAAAATTTATAAGTGAGGGTCTAAATAAATGGGGGTCCAAAATAATTCATGGGATACTAATAGTACCGCTCTTTTAAAAAACTAGATAGTTTCTTTGTGGACAAAATACCCTCACTTTGGGAATACCGAAATTCACTTATTTATTAAAAAAAAAAAGAAATTCACTTATTTATAAAAAAAATAAAATTGTAGTACCCTCTTGAATAAAAAATAAAACAATATTAATATGTCATTATAAATAAAAATAATAATTTTTCTTTATTTAGAAGCTCATTTAAGTAGAAACAATTCCTTAAAATGGATTGATGAATTTCACTTACAATTATATATCAATCCATTAATGCAATAATATTAAACCCCCTTCCCCCCAAGAAAAAAAAAAAGAAAAAAAAATCTCATGTTATTATATTACAACAAAAAATGAAAATAAAAATTCATTTCAATTGAATTCAAAAAATAATAAACCAAATAAATAAAAATACTTTATCTAGAATTATATCATCATGGTATGTGTTACAAATTAAAAGAAAATGTATAATTATAATAAAATAAAATAATAGAAGGAAATTAATGGATGAAATTGAGAAAAATATAAAGTGGATGTCTTGGTCTCTATATAAAAAAAAATTAATTTTAATTGTTTTAAAAACTTTTACTACTTTCCATACAAATAAGAATAAATTGTACTACCTTTCTTAACCGGGGTAACCCGATAAAACAATTGATGGGTCCCATCAACCCATTAATGTGTCAAGAACCATTGGAAAAAAAACTTTTTAGAGTAATGTCGGGATATTAAAATCTCTATCAAATATTTTATTAAAAGTCACCCCACATAACGGTGGCGTTCACATCAATGTGAGATATTTTGTAGAAATTTTAAAGCCTTTAACATTTTTCAAAAACTTTTTATGGTAAAAAACATTCCCAATAAAAAAAAGAAAGAAAAGATAACTCATTTATTAGAAATTTAAATCTAGTAAGAACTCATTATTTGCTTGTGAAATTAACATTATCATTATTTGCTTATGAAATTAACATTATTTATATTGGTTGTGACCATTAAAAGAATTTTCTCGAAAATGAAATATATAAAGAATCGGTTGCATGAACAAATGTGATATCAATGTTTGAATAATTGCTTCATCACACATATAAAAAATGAAGTGATTGACACTAATGACATTGAGATTATCATGCAATGATTCCCAAAAATGGCAACTTATCGAATGCAATTGTAAAAATATATATTAACATTGATATCTCCTCGAAATTATAAAAGCTTATATATATAGTTATTTTGTTAAGACAATTGTATTTTGTTAGATATTGTTCTACTTTAAATTTGAGAAATTCAAATGTTAATTAGTTTATAATTTTTTCTGGTCATAAAATGTGTGGAACTTAAATTTTTGGAGTGACCCATCTATCAAAATTTCTGGAGTTACCATTGATCATGTTAACAAAAGCTATTAGTAGAGATATAAGAAAAATCGAAAAAACTGACCAAACCGATTGAACCTGATCCAACCGGCTATATTTGGTTTGTTTTTTTAACAAGAGTCGGTCTGTGCAGTTTTTAAATTTGATTTTTTTCGATTTTCGATTTGGTATCAGTTTAAGCACCTTTTTTTTTTTTTTTGAAACAGCAAAAAGAGACCTTTATTGATAATCAAACCATCAAGATGAGATTACATCAAAAAAAGAGATAAAGGGGTTTGGAGAGGAACCAAACCCAAACGGAACAAGCAGAACAAGGACCTGCACACAGCTCCTCACGCACCATCAGAACACTTCCAGGGGCAGCAACAAGAGATTCACCAGGCCATAACAGATGCAAATGCATACCTACATCTTGAAACCAAGAGCAGAACACAGACAGATGCATTGTATTGAGAAGAACCTGAAGCTCAAGACAGCAGCCCAGAACAAGGTTGCCTGAAATTTACATTCATATGCCTCAAGGTTGCCTGAAATTTACACCCAAAGCAATAGGTGATATACCTCAATTTGTTCAGAAAACACAAGCAGAGCCCAATAAAGAGACAGAGCAGGACAAACCCAGAACAGTAGAACAAACCCAGAATAGAACAAACCTAGAACAGCAGAACAGCCCTGCATAATACAGATGTACAACCCCCACTGCATCCCAGAACAGCAGCCCAAAACAGAACTGCTCAAAACAGAAAAGCATTAATATCAGCAGCCCAAAACATATCTGCTCCCCAAACTCAATCTGATTTGCCTCAGATTGTTTAAAAAGTCTTGTACAGAGAAATGAAAGTCCTTGAATCTTAGTTTGAGCCATAGAGCAATTCTGATTTTAATCAACTCGCACAGTTCCACTAATTGAGGCGAAGCAGATTCGAAAATGCACTCATTCCTAAGCTTCCACAAAGACCATAGGACAGCCAAGGGAATGACTTTCCATATCCATTTTTCTTTCCTATTCAAATTCGCACAATCCCACCAGTGAAGAATACCTTCGACTGAACCTGGAAGAGCCCCTTGCAATTCCCACCAATCCATCATAACAGCCCAAACCTTCTATGCAAAATAGCAATGCAGCAGGACATGAATGGATTATTCAGGCTTAGCTTTACAGAAAACACACAGAACATGAGCATTAACTTGAATCACTCCAATTTTCTGTAAAAATTCAACTGACTTAACTCTGTTTTTCCATGCCAGCCAACAGAAAAACTGAACCTTAGGAAGGGCAAATGAGTTCCAAACAAACTTACACAAAATGAGAGAGGGGCAAAGGGAGTCGATTTCATTTTTATAAACAGAGGAGACAGAGAATAGGCCAGATCCTTCAGCCAACCAGATTATTTTGTCCTCCAGAACAGAACATGGAACAGGTGTAGAAACCAGGAGCAAGTTGAGCCTACTAACTTCCCTCTCTTTCCACTCATACAACCTTCTTCTGAATTGAAAGTTCCAAGCCCTTGAATGCACCCTCCTGTCATACATTGATCTCAAGGTTTCCTCCTTCTCCAAAACCAATCTGAAAAGAATTGGAAATTCATCTTTCAAGCAAGAATTGCTGCACCATTTATCCTTCCAGAAAAAGGTTCTATTGCCATCCCCTACCTTGATATGAACCTTATTAAGATAAAACACCATCAGACTATTCCTCATCTTTGGTATAGATATGATACCTTTCCATACACAAGAGAACCTGCTGCTAGGGAAAAAAGAGGGATACCAGCTGTTTACATTCAAATTATACTTGCTGCAGATAATTTTTCTCCACAAAGCATCTTTCTCTGAACCAAATCTCCACCACTATTTTAGTAGCATACAATCATTAACCAGCCTAACTCTCCTAATACCTAATCCCCCCTGCTTCACATTCTTTGTTACATCATCCCATTTAACCAAGTGAATTGGTTTTCTTGATACTGACCCTCCCCAAAGGAAAGTAGCCTGCAGCTTCTCAAATTCTGTAGCTACCCCTACAGGTATTTTGAATAAAGAAAGATAAAACATAGGCAGCGCAGAGGACACAGATTTTAGAAGAGTGAGCGTCCCTGAGAATAATAGCAGCTTCCTTTTCCAACCGGCAAGTCTGCTTCTGACTTTATCAGTTTAAGCGCCTTGTGTACTGATCTAAACCGAAACCAACCGTTTCAACATATATTGTATTTATAATATATATAATTTAATAGTATAATGATATTAATAAGTATAATAAATTATTAACCTTATCATCTTTATAACCTAAATTTGTAAACTCTTATTATATATAATCTTAACTCTAACTCATTATTTTTGAAACTTTAGTATTTTCAAACTTTTTTTTTGTTTTTATTTTTGTTAATTTATGAATTGAAAAATATGTATTAAATAGATAGATTATGTTTGAAATAGTTGACAAATTACTTTAATGTTTTTATATATATTGATGATTATATTTAAAAGTTGCTCAAGTTTGCAAAATCATAAACCAATTAAACCGCATCAAATCGAACCATTTTAATCAGTTTGGTTCGGTGCGGTTTGATGGGAGAAGCGGCCTGTATCGGTGTTTAAAATAATAAAACCGATATTATTGATTCGGTGTAATTTTTTACTTGAATACCGACCGTACCGAACCAATTACATCCCTAGCCGTAAGGCATTTGTTGAGTGATCAATAGGATCTAGCTTCCCTCCAGTCCCAGATCTGACTAGAACGTGCTGTTGGACCCGTGATGGCCCATTACGGGTCCCGTTTCGATAATCCAAACCGTTCAATGTGTAGAAATCATTGAGTATTATATGCTTGTAAAAAAATCACATTGATCAAATATTGATAGTTGTGTGATCAAATAAGTTTTGTATAAAAAAAATGGACAGTGAAAAAATTAACGGTTGACAGAAAACTGATTCGAGAGATAGCTATCAATATTTGATCAACGTGATATTTTACAGGTATATAGTACTTGACGAATTTTACATATTGAACGGTTCAGATTATCAAAACAGGACTCGTAGTGGACCTCCACGGGCCCAACAACACCCTCCAGGCCGATGTGGAACTGGAGGGAAGTCACTGGCTAGTCAATAATAGGTTTTGTTAGCAAATGCCCTTGGTACTTATTAAGAATGCATTAAATAAGGTTAATTACTCTCACTATCATAGAAAGCAACCAAAGACATATATTTTCTAATATGACTACAATATCATTATATGTATTTCTCTTCATTTTATTTTGTTGTTACTATTTTTGATCTGTTCACCTCCCACCAATGTATTTCCAAGTTGAGGAGCTGCCAGACTCAGTCAAGTGGACTGCATCTCCTTCAGGTAATTTCACAGTGGCCTCAATGAGGAAATGGTATGAGGAGACTCAAGGCCCAAAATTGCAGGTTCCTAATCTGTTATGGAGAGGTGTGGCCCCTCCAAAAGCTCAATTTTTAAGCTGGTTGGCATGGAGGGGAAGGGTTAAAACCATTAGTCTTTTACAGAGGTGTAGGGCCTTAAGCAGAGATGTGGAGAATCTGTGCCTTTTCTGCAAGCTGGAACCAGAGTCCGTGGATCATTTGTTCCTGCAATGCACGGAAATTTGGAAGGTTTGGTCATCTCTGCTTCAATGGTGGGGAGTATCTTGGGTCATTCCTGCTACAGTTGATGGTGTGCTGTTATGGTGGATGGGTACAAAATTCAAGAAGTCAGTTGAGAGGATTTGGAGACTTGTCCCAATTGCAATGTTATGGTCAGTATGGAGGTTAAGAAATGAGTGTGTTTTTAAAGGAAGTCAGCCTAATATGGAAGCGCTTGGTGAAATAGTGAAAGTTAGGGTTGGGCTGTGGGCCAAGTCTGGGCTGCCCAGGTTTCAGTACTCAGTGCATGACGTAGTGGCAAACCTGAATCAGGTGACTTCTTGTAGTTAGGACTCTGCTGCTGGTTTGTTGGTGCTTCTGTGGTGTGTGTGTTTGGAATGCTGCCCATCGTGTGGCCTGCTTTATGCCTTTTGTGGTTGCTGGCCAGCCAATCCGTGTCTGCTGGTGTGTGTAACCAGTTTGTTGGGAGGCTTCAGCTTCTGGTCTGTCAAGGCAGTACAGAGGCCTGCCTGGCTATGGTCTGTGAAGGCAGTGCTTCTCCTTCAGGGATAGTTGGGCTGCAGTGTGGTGATGTTTTCAGAATTCAGAATCTGCATTCTGTTGATGTTCTCAATCTGTGTCTGCTGGTGTGTGTAACCAGTTTGTTGGGTCTCTTTCCGGAGCCTGGGGGGTATGTTTGCAGCTTGGCGGCAGAGTGGGAGGTTCCAGCTTCTGGTCTGTCAAGGCAGTACAGAGGCCTGCTTGGCTATGGTCTGTAAAGGCAGGGCTTCCCCTTCAGTATGTGTTGTCTAAGTGCCCCAGCAGAGGGATAGTTGGGCTGCATTCTGTTTTCTGCTTCTGTTGTTTTCTGTTGTGTTTCTCCGCTTTCTTCTCCTCTTGTTTCGCTGGCTTGTTGGTCCCTCACCAACTAGTGCTACTCTTTATTGATGTACCTTTCCATACTTTGTATGATTTCATCAATAAAGATTTCTTTGCTGATCAAAAAAAAAAAAGTTTGAGCCTATCTACAACTTATAGAATGTGGTATAAAATTATGCCTTATGGTATAAAATTGGCGATATAAAATTGAGCATATCTACAACTTATAGAATGTGGTATAAAATTATGCCTTATGGTATAAAATTGGCGATATAAAATTGAGCATATCTACAACTTATAGAATGTGGTATAAAATTATGCCTTATGGTATAAAATTGGCGATATAAAATTGAGCATATCTACAACTTATAGAATGTGGTATAAAATTATGCCTTATGGTATAAAATTGGCGATATAAAATTGAGCATATCTACAACTTATAGAATGTGGTATAAAATTATGCCTTATGGTATAAAATTGGCGATATAAAATTGAGCATATCTACAACTTATAGAATGTGGTATAAAATTATGCCTTATGGTATAAAATTGGCGATATAAAATTGAGCATATCTACAACTTATAGAATGTGGTATAAAATTATGCCTTATGGTATAAAATTGGCGATATAAAATTGAGCATATCTACAACTTATAGAATGTGGTATAAAATTATGCCTTATGGTATAAAATTGGCGATATAAAATTGAGCATATCTACAACTTATAGAATGTGGTATAAAATTATGCCTTATGGTATAAAATTGGCGATATAAAATTGAGCATATCTACAACTTATAGAATGTGGTATAAAATTATGCCTTATGTGGATGATTCAGGCTCAGCTTTACAGAAAACACATAGAGCAGGAGCAGTAGCTTGAATCACTCTAATTTTCTGTAGAAATTCAGCTGACTTAACTCTGTTTTTCCATGCTAGCCAACAGAAAAATTGAACCTTTGGAGGGGCAAATGAGTTCCAAACAAACTTACAAGAAATAAGAGAGGGACTGAGGGATGCAATTTCATTTTTATAAACAGAGGAGACAGAGAATAGGCCAAATCCTTCAGCCAACCAGACTATTTTGTCCTCCAGAACAGAACATGGATCAGGTGCAGGAACCAGGAGCAAATTGAGCCTACAAACTTCCCTCTCTTCCCACTCATACAACCTTCTTCTGAATTGAAAGTTCCAAGCTCTTGAATGCACCCTCCTGTCATACATTGATCTCAAGGTTTCCTCCTTCTCCAAAACCAATCTGAAAAGAATTGGAAATTCATCTTTCAAGTAAGAATTGTTGCACCATTTATCCTTCTAGAAAAAGGTTCTATTGCCATCCCCTACCTTGATATGAACCTTATTAAGATAAAACACCATCAGACTATTCCTCATCTTTGGTATAGATATGATACCTTTCCATACACAAGAGAACCTACTACTAGGGAAAAAAGAGGGATACCAGCTGTTTACATTCAAATTATACTTGCTGCAGATAATTTTTCTCCACAAAGCATCTTTCTCTGAACCAAATCTCCACCACCATTTTAGTAGCATACAATCATTAACCAGCCTAACTCTCCTAATACCTAATCCCCCCTGCTTCACATTCTTTGTTACATCATCCCATTTAACCAAGTGAATTGGTTTTCTTGATACTGGCCCTCCCCAAAGGAAAGTAGCCTGCAGCTTCTCAAATTCTCTAGCTACCCCTACAGGTATTTTGAATAAAGAAAGATAAAACATAGGCAGCGCAGAGGACACAGATTTTAGAAGAGTGAGCCTCCCTGAGAATGATAGCAGCTTCCTTTTCCAACCGGCAAGTCTGCTTTTGACTTTATCAGTTTAAGCGCCTTGTGTACTGATCTAAACCGAAACCAACCGTTTCAACATATATTGTATTTATAATATATATAATTTAATAGTATAATGATATTAATAAGTATAATAAATTATTAACCTTATCATCTTTATAACCTAAATTTGTAAACTCTTATTATATATAATCTTAACTCTAACTCATTATTTTTGAAACTTTAGTATTTTCAAACTTTTTTTTGTTTTTATTTTTGTTAATTTATGAATTGAAAAATATGTATTAAATAGATAGATTATCTTTGAAATAGTTGACAAATTACTTTAATGTTTTTATATATATTGATGATTATATTTAAAAGTTGCTCAAGTTTGCAAAATCATAAACCAATTAAACCGCATCAAATCGAACCATTTTAATCAGTTTGGTTCGGTGCGGTTTGATGGGAGAAGCGGCCTGTATCGGTGTTTAAAATAATAAAACCGATATTATTGATTCGGTGTAATTTTTTACTTGAATACCGACCGTACCGAACCAATTACATCCCTAGCCGTAAGGCATTTGTTGAGTGATCAATAGGATCTAGCTTCCCTCCAGTCCCAGATCTGACTAGAACGTGCTGTTGGACCCGTGATGGCCCATTACGGGTCCCGTTTCGATAATCCAAACCGTTCAATGTGTAGAAATCATTGAGTATTATATGCTTGTAAAAAAATCACATTGATCAAATATTGATAGTTGTGTGATCAAATAAGTTTTGTATTAAAAAAATGGACAGTGAAAAAATTAACGGTTGACAGAAAACTGATTCGAGAGATAGCTATCGATATTTGATCAACGTGATATTTTACAGGTATATAGTACTTGACGAATTTTACATATTGAACGGTTCAGATTATCAAAACAGGACTCGTAGTGGACCTCCACGGGCCCAACAACACCCTCCAGGCCGATGTGGAACTGGAGGGAAGTCACTGGCTAGTCAATAATAGGTTTTGTTAGCAAATGCCCTTGGTACTTATTAAGAATGCATTAAATAAGGTTAATTACTCTCTATCATAGAAAGTAACCAAAGACATATATTTTCTAATATGACTACAATATCATTATATGTATTTCTCTTCATTTTATTTTGTTGTTACTATTTTTGATCCGTTCACCTCCCACCAATGTATTTCCAAGTTATTTAATCCAATAAATATTTAATTATCATTTATAATTTTAAATATTTATTTTTATTTTAATTTAATATTTTATTTACATTTCTCTTCAAAATGATTCATTCCTAAATCTATGGTTGTGGTCAAATTTAAAAATAAAAAGTGTATGATTTTCACCATAAAAGTGAAAGTAATGAACCGTAGTATTTGTGTTATGAAAAATTTGGCAAAAATGTAACGAATCATTTGTAATGAAAGATATTATGAATCATTTTAATGAAAAATGTAAATAAAATATAAATTTTTAGGTGAAAAAATATTTTAAAATTATAAATAATATTTGAATATTAATTAATTTGAAAATATATAGGTGGGTGGGAGATGAATGGATCAGAAAAAACTAAAAATAAAATAAAAATGAAGAGAAATACATAAAAGGGTATTGTAGTCACATTAGATTTTTTTTTTTCATTTGTTTAATACAACACATATAATTCCTTTATTCACCTCGTATTATGACTAGTGCCAGTAATTAACCATATTTAATGCATTCTTAACAAAATTCATTAATAATAACGGTGGTATTACATGCACTAATTAGTATATTGACTAGTATATCAACACTAATTATGACATTATTATTGACCCCACTCATTAATCACATTACAAATTTCAAAAATCTCTTAAATTATATCACATCATCAATTGGTATACTAGTTGGTATATCAATTGGTACATCTAACATTATTCTAATAATAATTTATTTCATTTAATGAGTGTTGAAATTTGTTAAATTTTTAAAAATAATTCTATATATAGTAATTGCTATATCAGTTAGTATATTAATAGATGATGTTGCATAATTTTAGAAGTTTTGAGTCCTTATAATTTGTATAATGTGTGAGTTCATAATTTTAAAATGATAATGTTATAACATATGTTGATACACTAATTAGTATACCAATTGATATGTATAACACCACTGAATTTTAAATAATGAATTTTATTAAGAAAGTAATAAATGACTTAGTTTTTTCATTTGCATGGTAAATATATAATAGAAGAAAAATTATGATTCATCTGCACAATTTCTCTCCCCCTCCAAAAAAAAAAAGATTGGGGGACTTAAGTCTAAAGATTCTTTATTAGTATAGAGTGGTAAAAAATAAATAAAAAAGTAACAAAATCATATAGTGTATTATTTATTTGTTTTTTTATTTTTAGTGAGAGTCCCCAATTGAAGATATAGAGCCCCCACCAACCTTTATGACTGACGGTATTGCTAACAAGAATTCTAGTTGTAATTTTTTTTTATTTGGTTGAATTTTTAAAATTTGTAAAAAAATTAGAAATTATCTTGACAAAAATAAAGATAAAATATATACATTTGAATTTTTAAAAATTACTTTGTGTCAAAAAAAGAAAAAATCGTATAAAAATAAAGAGTGTTTTATTTATTTCATTTTTTCCATCAAACTAATTTTTAATTTTGTAACAAATATATTTAAAAATAAATTAAATATATATACATTTAAACATGTCTGAGATACAATTTGATGGTGAAAAAGTTAAATTATCTGAAAATAGTATGAAATATCAAACTAGAAGGAATGCGACAAAAATAAGGGAGGGGCGGGGGATAAAGCAAAAAAATAGGGTGAAATACAAATAAATTTTAAAATATGATCTTATAAATTGTTTAGTTTTTTATTTTTTTTATGAACCCAAAAGTTTTATTAAAATGAAAATTATACAAAAAGGTAGTGACTTACATGTTTGAATTTAATCTTTTAGAGATACAAGTGAGTTTTTCCAAATGTAAAATTATACATTTGGATAATCCACACTATTGAAATTTTAGATTTTCTCTCATTTTGGAATAAATCCCACATTATGAACAAAAACGTAACACTTTAATATAACACTCTAATGACGTAACACTTTTATATAACACACTAAAAAACTCATTGGTGTATTTTTTCTAAATGTAAAAATGTAACACTAAGAAAAATTTATTAATGTACTTTTTCGAACGTAACACTCCAATTTATCACAAAAAAAAAAAACTCCTTAGTGTACTTTTTCCAAACGTAACACTTCAATTAATGTAATCTCAAATGTAACACTCTAATGTAACGTATTCCAATGTAGCATACACAAAAATACTAAAAAAATTCAGTCTATTTTTTCCAAATGTAACACTTACAGTTTGAAATTATACGTTTGTCCAAAACATATTAAGGAATTTTTGTACTCATTTTGGAATAGTTTGAAAAATTCCACATCTTTTTTTTTTTGTTTGGAGTGTTATATTGGAGTGTTATGTTTGAAAAAAGTATGCCAAGAATTTTTTATTTTTATTTTTATGGGTTACATTAGAGTGTTACGTTAACGAGTTTTTAGAGTACTATATTGGAATATTACGTTTGAAAAAAGTACGCTAAGAATTTTTTTTGGGTATGTTACATTGGAGTGTTACAGTTTGAAATTGTACATTTGCCTAAAACTTATTAAGAAGTTTTTGTACTCATTTTGAAATGTTTGAAGAATCTTACATCCTTTTGAAATGTTTGAAAAATCTCATATTTTAAGTCATTTTCATACTCATTTTGCAATGTTTTCTAAATAAAAAAGATTCTTATATAAAAATTCATCTCAAATTTAATTTTTTATAAATTGTGTACACTTTCTAGAACAAAAGAAAAAAAGAGAAGAAAACATAATAGAAATAAGAGTATAACAGTAAATCTAATTTTTAAATAATATATTAAATCTACCTTTCCAAAATCAATGAGACTAATTGGTCTATAAAAAAATCTTTGAGACTAAATAGATCACCATTTTTTAATATAGGATTTATGAGCAAATTTTCCAAAAAAGTATTTCGGTCTTGTTATATATAAAAAAATCTTTAATTAAGATAGCTTTTAATGTTATGCTAGTTTTTAAGGGTAATGTTAGGGATACCAAAATTTTCTATCATATAAATAACAAAATATTTCATATGGGTGTGGGGTCCGCAATTTTGTGAACCTACACCCATGTGAGATATTTGATCATTTATTTAGTAGAAAATTTAGGACCTATAACATCTGAGATATTTGGTCATTTATTTAGTAGAAAATTTAGGACTTATAGCATTTGAGTAATGCTAGAGACTCCAAAATTCTACTAAAAATTTTACTAAATGTCTCACATAGGTATGGGACCCACATGGGATCTACATTGCGTGAGTCCTACACCCATGTGAGACATTTGGTAGAACTTTTAGTAAAATTTTTAGGATCTCTAACATTTTTGATAACATTTTTTAATTTTTAATAAATATACTGATTTAATACTTTCCTAAAATATACACTTAGGGACACATTAAAAACCTTAGTGATATTTGCCTTTGATTAACGCTCGTCTATAAATACTCTTTCATGTCAGCAACATATCATTCACAATTCACAAAGACAATACAAACAAGATCTAGCAAAGCATAACACCTGAAAATGCCCGAGGCCTTATGCCCAGGTAAAGATTAGGTTTTGCTAAGGATTTTGTTTAAATCATGTTGACATGCCCTTTTTTTTCTTTTTTTTTTTCCCTATAAAAATGTACTTATGAAGTTTAATTCTCTACATTGAGTTAATAATTCTTATTCTTTTCCTATTAAAAGAAAACAAAAGATTAGTTGATATATTGTTATACTGCGATAGACAATGATTAGGACTGCAAACGAATAGAACCGTTTGTGAACAGGCTCAAGCTTGGCTCGGTAAGAGCTCATTCGAACTTGGTTTGTTATTATTTTATTTATTTATTTATTTTATTTTTTTGCGTACAAGCTCGAACTCGAGCTCGAGCTTGCTAAATTTTTAATAAACAACCCCAAATATTCTAAAGTTCGGCTCATTATCTGGCTCGTTTAATATTTATTATTTATATATTAAATAATATAAAATTATGTATCAAAAATAAGATAAATATGTTATTTATATATTTAAAAAATATAAATATAAATAATAGTTAACTATAGATAGTACATTTATATAATAGTGGTACTAGATATTATTATTTTGTTAAAATTTTGACCCCCTTTTTCTTTTTTTTTAAGAATGTTTATATATACATATATATATATATATTGTATATATAATTATATAATCAAAATTTTAATTGTAACTTTAGTCTTATACGCAAGTATGAATTTATAAATTTTTTAATTCATTAAGACTCGTGAACAGGCTGGAGCTCGAGTAAAGCCTGCGCTAACTCGGCTCGAGCTCGGTTTGTTAAATTTTTATTGAGCTCAAGCTTGAGCTCAAGTTCGTTAAAATCTTAATAAACAAGCCCAAACATGCTAAAGCTCGGCTCGGCTCGGCTCGGCTCGTTTGCAGCCCTAATGACAATACAAGTGAGATCACCAATTGTTGTAAAAGCTTAATCTTTTGGTACGATTGGTCTAACATGGTATCAGAACTCTAGTTTCAGCCTCCCAGGAGAATCTTGGGTTCAAGTCTTGTTACCCTCATTATCTCTATCATTGTTCATTCTATTCTACCTGTCTTTGTTCACCTTATTTTCTCTTAGAATGTTAGCTTTATATACATTGTTGAGCCAATTTCCTAACTTAAGCTTTGGGGACAATTGTTGATCGAATCCAAATGTTTTTCATTATTATGAATATAACATTGTCTAGTTAGCTAAAATAACTTACAATCTGATTGATGAATTCTGTAGAGCATCCTTTGAAAAGAGGGACATTTTCAACGTATGGCTTGTATAAAGTTTGGGAAATCTGCAAAAGATGTTGAGCAAAACAAGAGAGGAATCAAATTAAAGCACACCACAAATTGTTATGCACAAGCAGAACAGATTTGTCATTCATATATATACAACAATCTGAAAACATACATGCATATTCAAACCTAAGAAATATTTTATTGAAAAAATAAACATAAGAGAACTTGTAATAAAATAAAAGGCTTTAGTAATGTTTAGAGATTAATACTATGAACAAGTTATACAATGTTTCTTCACTTTTACCTTAGCACGAATGGAGATGGGCATATCCTGAAGGACAGAAGTTTCAGTATAGCTGCTTTCATACTGTAACCGCAAGTGACCTTTGATCTGATTGCGGATGTCCCTTCCAAGTCTATTTCTGTTCATATATTTCATGAGATCTGCCATTTTATCCCTGAACCTTTCTGTCTTTGATCCTTTCACAATTAATGCAGTCATGTTACCAATCAAATAAGCACCAAGAATCATGTCAAAAGAGACATATATCATTATGAATATCATTTCCCTCAGATTGACTGCATGTATATCTCCATAACCTGCAGCAGGAAGAAGATACTCATTTAGCATAAACAAAGAACCCATCAGGAAAAGTAGAAGTATTTTATGGTGGAAAGCTTTAACATGTTTAGACTATTTGTGAAAGAAAAATAATTATTTTCATTATTTCTTTCAATCAAATACTTTATTAGCATACTGTCCTCGAGGAGCAATATAGGCAGCAGATCCTGGTATTTCTGAAATTTGTTGATGCTTAAGAGAAGACTCTATGTGAATTGATTCAGAACACAGAAGAGAGCAGAGTTGATCCACAGTAATAGGATCTGATCTGGCTCTTATTGTAGTTTTGAAAGCATTATATTCTTCAGGTAGTCCATTCAGAATTAAAAGGACTAAATCCTCATCATCAACTGATGATGAAGCCAAAGCAAGCTGATCTGCAAGAACTTTGAATTTGTGCAGATAGTCTTCCATAGTTGATCCTTTCTTCACAATATGACTTAATTTGTTCTTCAGTTGATGGATATGAGATCGAGAAAGAGAAGTAAACCGTTTGGCAAGAGTATGCCAAACATCATAACTAGTTTGACAGTGAATTACAGATGTGAAAAGTGAAGGTGATAGAGTTGCTGTTATGCAACTCAAGAGATGTGCATCAATTGTAGTCCATAGAGTATGCTTGGGATTCAGAATTTCAAGATGATTTGAATCTAAGATAACTGGTGCAGGACATACTTCAGATCCGTCCACATAGCCAAGAAGCTTGGTTGCTCTTAAGATGTTGTAAAATTGATTCTTCCAAACTATGTAATTGGATGAATCAAGCTTGATAGTAACGAATGCATTAAGATTTGAGATCAACAATTTGAGGTTTGAAGGAATGGCAGAAGAAGACTCTGGTATACTTTCTGGGACACCTATGGTGATGGAAGAAGCCATTGAAGAGCAGTGCTCGTAGGAGCCTATGGCTCTGATACCATAATGAGCAATGGAGTTCTAGATATTATTCACTTTTTTTCACACTCAAATACAGAGATGGTCTATGTATATATAACAAGAGATAATGACCATAACTACCTAACTACTTGTGGTTAAGGCCTAACAAACTAACTACCTTCCTAACAAACTAACTACCTCAAGAATACTCTAGAATGCACTGATATAAGCTGAAGCCTTCTGTGCTGAAACTGTAGCTTGAGTGGCTGTTTGAGTGGCTTGAGTGGCTGGGTTATCAGGTTGCTTATCAAGTTGAACCAATTAAAAAGAGAATAAATAATAAATAATAAACAAAATAAATAAAGACTAATGGAATTTGCATTCTCCATTTGTTAATAAGTGTGGCTATGATGTATCTAGTTCTGGAACTAATTTTATTTTTAATTAATTCCAGAAAATTTGAGAGGAAAATGGCTAATTGCACTGGTGAATTTTATTTTTATGTTTTATTTATATCGGTAAACCATGGCAGTTTTAATGGCAAATTCAGTTTTGATGCTCGATTATTATTATTATTATTACTCTATCCGTTTTAAAATATTAGTCTCATATTTTATTTTTTATTGTCTCAAAATATTAATTTCTTTTCAAAAATTAAGGAATAAAATAATATGAATTTACTATTTTACCCTTCTTTCAAATTCGTTAATAACACAAAAAGTATAATTATGACAATTGATATTTCCAAAAAAATGTACTATCAAAGGGTAATTTTGAAAAATTAATATTTTTAAAATGTAATAATTGTACAATAAAAAAAAATTAAAATTTTTAAAAGAGACTATTATTTTGGGATGGAGGGAGTATTATTATTTTGACTTGGGTCTGGTTTCCCTCCAGTCCCTTATCGATAGTTACGTAGTCAAATCAGTTTTGTATAAAAAAAACATTGACGGTGAAAAAATAAACGGTTGACAGAAATCTAATCTGATGAAATAACTATCGATATCCGATCGACGTGATTTTTTACAAGTATATAGTACTCGACAAGTTTTACACATTAAAAAGTTCAAATTATCAAAATGAGACTCGTAATGAGCCCCTACAGGCTTAAAAATATCCTCTAATCTAATATGAAATTGGAGGGAAGTGAGTCGTTTCACTTTGTGTTTGTAAATATACCATTCTTCTCAAACTGGTTAGTGCAAGTAGAAATGACTATTGTTTAGGAGTAAAGACAAACCTTTAAACACCAACGGACATGAGATGTGGTAGGGCAAAAAGATATGAATTTATTAAGGTTATATTTGGATCATTGAAATGGTTGAAGATTTTAAAAAGAAAAAAAGGGAAAAATAGCCTTGTTTTGTTTAAATGATCCAAGCACAAAGTTAATTTAATTTGGAGGATTTATGTATAGGTCTTAAAAGATGGATTAATTGTCTAATAGGTCTTATGATAATTAATAGTGTTTTTTTATCAAACATTATTAAAAAAAGTCATTAATTGTTCATTTTCAGATATAGTTTGAAAATTTTGTCACCAAAAATGTCATTAATTATAAGTTTTAGCGACAATTTAAAAAATCATCACTAATTTTCAACTTTCGGTGACAATTTGAAAAATTTATCATAGAAAAAGTCACTAATTGTACGTTTTTACCACAATTTATAAAAATAATAACAAAAAAAAGTCAATGATTGTCAATTTTTAGCAACATATGCAATAAGACTTATTTTCAATAGTTCTTGATGAGAATTAAATCAAAATATTAGAATCTATTGGTAGTTTATCCGTTTAACTAAGCATATGTATAGCTTGTTTTTTTTTTAAATTATTATTTTTTATTTATCAGCAAAAAAAAAAAACTTTATTGATAAATTCAAACATATAATACATAAGAACAAACAACAATAGAGGGGGTAAGTGCAAAGAGCATAACAATAAACCATCCTAATCCAATTAGGTTGACACCAGGAAGGCTATATAATCATATGCTAGCTCAAGCTAAGAGTTGGCGAGCAACCAACAGAGGTAGAGGGAAAACAAGAACAAAACAACAATACAACACCAAGCACCAGACTACCAGTATCCAAATACCTAAGCATACTCCTATCTGATTGATTGTGTACCAAGTCATTTACAGATTAATGCCACTCCTTGGATGAGGATTTTAGCCAAGTTGCTACTCTAATTTTTATGAGTTCAGAAAGTTCCCAGATATCGGGTTTAGCATCATTGAACACGTATTCGCTCCTAAGCTTCCAAATGGACCACAGAGTTGCTAGAGGGATAGCTCTGCAGATTATCTTCTATTGTTTCTTGAAATTACCTCCTTCCCACCATATCAGCAATCTCCCAATGGGAATTGTTGAGATTCCTGTAGCTGCTGAGGGGAATTGTTGTTAAGGTTCCTGTAGCTAGTGGTGTTACGTGCTTGTGGATTGACAAGATTGAACTTTTTGGGATCATTTATTGGGTCATAATTACCAAACCCTTGAGAGAGAGAGAGAGAGAGAGAGAGAACCAGTGAATTGTGACACCGAAACATCTTGTTGTATTGACATTAAACAATGTCCCGAGAAGGCAAACAGCATGGTCATGGGAATGACGGAGGTGGATGGCAACCAGTGGTCCGTCGCCATGGTGGCAGGGGAGTGTGGAGCAGCAGGGCAGACGTAGCCATACACTCCGTTTTTATGGATAATATTCCAGAATCTATGGGGACTAGAGGGTTATATAATATCTTCTCGACTCTTATCATCACACCATATTCCATCCGCTTTCTGGACTGCTACCCTTGCTGCTGTGGTACAGTCATACCGGACGAAACCAAATCTTGAACCAGTAGCTTTCCTCCTCTTATTTGGGATGAATACGTCTTTTACCACACCATAGTTACTAAACAGATTGAATAGACTTCGTGGCACCATAGAATCCGGCAGATTATCTACAAAAACCGTGATGAATCCTGCACCCTTGTAGTGGATCTGTTGGACTCTTGGTCTTCTCTTCCGTGTCACCGGTGTCCACCCCCCTCTGTAGTCCATAGAAAAATTTGTAAAATTTATTGATTTGTATAGTTCTTGATGAGAATTAAATCAAAATATTAGAATCTATTGGTAGTTTATCCATTTAACTAAGCATATGTATAGCTTGTTTTTTTTTTAAATTATTATTTTTTAATTATCAGCAAAAAAAAAAAACTTTATTGATAAATTCAAACATATAATACATAAGAACAAACAACAAGTGCAAAGAGCATAACAATAAACCATCCTAATCCAATTAGGTTGACACCAGGAAGGCTATATAATCATATGCTAGCTCAAGCTAAGAGTTGGCGAGCAACCAACAGGGGTAGAGGGAAAACAAGAACAAAACAACAATACAACACCAGCACCAAACTACAAGCATCCAAATGACCAAGCATACTCTTATCTAATTGGGATTGTGTACAAAGTCATTTACAGAGTAATGCCACTTCTTGGATGAGGATTTTAGTCAAGTTGCTACTCTGATTTTTATAAGTTCAGAAAGGTCCCAGATATCGGGTTTAGCATCATTGAACACGTATTCACTCCTAAGCTTCCAAATAGACCACAGAGTTGCTAGAGGGATAGCTCTGCAGATTATCTTCTATTGTTTCTTGAAATTACCTCCTTCCCACCATATCAGCAATCTCTCAATGGAGCCAGGAGTGACCCACTAAATACCCCACCACTGTAATAATGCACACCAAACATTCCAAACAAAGGGGCAATGAAGTAACACATGAAGCACTGTTTCCTAATCATTCTTACACAAGCCACAAAGAGTGGAGGTGCTTCCATTTAGTATACCAATTCTTTGGACGAACACAGCGGTTTTCACTTTGTATTTCCAAGTGAGCCAACCAAAGAAATGAACACAAAAAAAAGCATTTTTAGTGACATTTTTTAGCAACCAAACTGAAATTAGTCTCTAATTTTATATAATTAGCGACAATATACTTGTTGGTTGCCAAAAAATAAACTATTGGCGATAAGTTGTGATTTTTAGTCGCCAAAAGGTTTGGTGCCAACTTAAATTTTAGCGCGGGAGCGCTAAAAATGTTTTTGCGACCAAATTAATATATGGCAACGAAAATTTTGGTCGCCGATTG